AAATGAAAATTTTAGTAGAAATTATGCGTGCTATTATTTTTTAAAACTATAAATTTTTATTTGCCTTATGCCTACTTTTTTTTCTCACGGTATTTCTCAGAATAATGAAAAAACATTTACTATAATAGGGTTGTACTTTTGAAACCAAATTCACGTGATAATGTTACGGACTGGTTCCTTCCTGTCCTGCCAGTCGCGGTAGTTTTCGAGACTGGCTGGCATTCGCGAGGTCCTTACGCGATGATTCTGGAATCCTAGAATAGTGTAAATAATTTACTTTTCTTTTATCTTCAATTGTTTCTATTATTATGTATCAAATTGGAATTTTATTGTTATGTATAACCCAGACTAGAATTATGATTTTCAACTATTGTACATTCTGAGATTTAACTTACTGTTAACGCAGCAACCCCTTTCCCATCCTCCAATTTATTTTTCTATTGCGATGAAAGAGCAGATATCCAGCACTGGATAGGTACTCTGATAAAACTTGAATAGTTAGTGGAGTTAGTTAGTCGGGCTAAGAGTTATCCTGCCGCTTGTCTTTCGGAGCTTGTCGCTAAATCTGTTTTGTCTTAACAAAAAGTTCATTCAATCGCCGAACCCGTTGTCGCCACTATTTCTACTAGTGAAGAAATCAGTAACAATACCATTGGTGATACTGTGCTCGTCGAAGTTATTCATTCCAGCTCGAAACTTTGAGATCGTAACATAGCGGATATTTCTGCACCAATATATATATATATATATATTTGCTGTTCTTGGATCTTTAGGATGTCAAAACGCAAGAATTTAGCAATTTTTAATTACTTTGAGAAAAAATCGCGACCTGAAATTAGTGAGGTGACAGCATCTAGTACCAATGTAAGTTTTTCTTTTGTACGGAAATGTGATACTTCCTTTGAAGAAAACGTTTGTAGCATAACAAAATCTGATGAATGTGAAAGTGGCCCTCAAAGTGTTACTTCCCACCCATATGACTTTTCTCAGAAGATATTACATTATGTTCTTAAATTTAAAAAATCAAATCAAAATTTAACTATACAATGTTGTCTAAATAAGAAGTCAAAATTGTTTAGCTGTCTAAATTAGGGAAATAATAGTGCTTTATTACATACTCGAATTTCTTTTAGTAGTTCCAGAAAATTATGAACACCCCCCTTGAAAAAATTCTGCGTACGCCACTGAGGTGAACCGGGTTCCAATCCCAGCGATGGCTAGTCAATACGAATACGCATCCGACTTGTACCGACCACAGAGCTGACGTGAAATATTCTCAGTGGTAGACGGATCATGGGTTAGAGTCCCCTTGTCGTCAGGCTAACCGTAGAAAATCTTCGTGGTTTACCGCTCCATGTAACGCAAATGCTGGTTAGTTTCATAAAAAAAGTCCTCAACGAAGGCAAAATACTCGCAATACTTGACTCAGGAGTTCCCTTGTCTTCTGAAGTAGGTTCAAAATTACAACGCTACGGAGTTGAACATTATTAGTCGTAAACCGGAAAATTGGGTCGGCTGTTCAACGATGGTTATAAAATAAAATAATGCAGATTAATTTGGAATTGAGAGATATTATAGCCGAACACGATATAAAATTTCTAAAAATGAATTAGATTTTGACATGAAAGTATTCCACGTTTCTACCTGACATAATTTTCGCTTTGGACGAGCTTCTGGTTAAAAACCAGATTATTAAAGCCACAGAAATCTCAAAAGAGTAAGCTTGAGCCACGATGGCTGATTGATACAAATTCTACTGTCCCGACTCGCATCGACCACAGTGGTAGACGGATCATGAGTTAGAATTCCCTAGCCGTATGGCTAATGGTAAAAAATTTTCGTGCTTTTCCTCCCCGTGTAACGCAAATGTGGGTTAGTTCCATAAAATAAGTCCTCAACGAAGTTTCTCAATGATTAATGCAGGAGTTTCCTTGAATTCTGAATCAGAAAAAAATCTGGGTTATAAGAATTACAAGACTACGGAACTCAGAATCGTGTCTGCTATTTAACACCAGCAGTTATATAATTAAAAAAATAGTAGACTTAGAATTATAAACTAAAAAATTTTTACCTGCTATTAAAAGTTTACTAAAACTTTACTAGTCTCTTGCTTGGACATCTCTCTTTTTTTTTAATTCTACAACCTTCATTGAACTGCCGACCCAATTTTTGGGTTTATGGCTACTAATGCTCAACTCCGCAGCCTTGTAATTTTGAACCCAATCCAGAAGACGGGGGAACTCCTGGATCAAGTATTGGGAGAAATTTTGCCTTCGTGGAGGACTTTTTGATGGAACTAACTCGCATTTGCGTTACATGGAGAGGAATATCACGAAAACCCTCCACGGTCAGCCTGACAGCAAAGGGACTCTAACCAATGATCCGTCTACCAGTGAGAATATTTCACGTCAGCACTGTGGTCGATGCAAGCCGGTTGCGGATTCGTATCAACCAGCCATCGATGGGGTTCGAACGCGGTTCACCTTATTGAAAGGCGAAAGCTCTATCCCCTGAGCCATCGCGGCTTAAATATAGTCCTATAGGAATAATGAAATCAACTAGGTGGCATTCGCAACCACAAAATTACGATAATTGACTGACTTATTTCACTCAAGGATGTAGTTCAACCTCTGGCTTGGTCTCCATTTTGCTCCCCAAACTTTATTTTTGTCATGTATGTTTCTTAGTCTAATTTCAGGATGAATGGGAAAAGGACCGTAAGGGCTCAGACGCCCAATTTCACTACAATGAACGAACGAGCCTCTGGCTTGAACATCTCCATTATAAGTTTCATTTTAAAAAAAATTCAAACTTACGAGTTCTATTTTTATTACAGACAGTACGTTTTTAGTACGAACAGTGTGTGTGTGTATGGCAATTTAGTATAGTATGCAATCGAAATTATATCTGCTATACCTTTTATCGATTTACATATTTTTTTAACATCTTAGGTGGAATGAATACATGGGAAAATATTATATGAAGCCATATACCAGGATTGGTCCTTACATAGCAGGCATTGTTGTAGGTTATATTTTGTATAAAAGAAAAACAACCGGCATAAAATCTAATCGAGTAAGTGCAATTATTTTTTTTTCTCAAAAATTTTACTATTATTTATCTTCTTTCTTTTTGTTTGTTATTTGAATTATTTTGACTCTACATAAATATTTTTTAAACAAACCAGTGCGTTATTGAAATTATCTTATTTCCATATAACAGATAATTCTATATTTATAATAATATAATTAGAATTGTATTTTCGAAAAGTTTTTTCTCTCTAAAAAATTGCACAATTAGAATAACCTTATTTCTATACATTTTTCTGCATAAATAATTAAAATAATAAAACTGCCTTACATTTATAAAAATTTTCTTCGTAAAGAACTGCATTTTTATAGTTATCTTATTTCTAGAAATAAGACTATTTTGTTTTAAAGGAAATTAAACTGCTTAGCTTTGTTTTTATATTTTTTATTCCTTTAGTTTCAAATTTAATCTTTCATCTTTAGAAGGTTGTATTAGAACGTGTATAAGAAATGACAACTATATGTAATGCTTGAAAGTAAATTTACTGTTTTTTTCAGCTAATGTACCGATAAAATGCACCAATAAAAATTAACATAATAGTCATCACTGTTATTTAATGCTTATCGCTTTTATTCAACAAATTTGTGCATGTAAATTTGCTTTTTTTTAAACTTACTTTTCTATAGGTACCGATGACAATTAACAGAATAGTCATTACTGTAACTGAATGGATATTAGATCGTTTTGATTCAGCGTAATCTAAAAAGGATTCTACCCTTTAAAAGTGATGTCCTTTTTGCTTTTTTTTAAAAAAGGACTATTTCGAAATCTCTCTTTGTTAATAGGTAAGTAATCCCTCGTTGCCAGAAAGTTGCTGTTCGTTGCTGTTCACTACTAGACAACCCACTTTTCAATGATGATACTGAATAACAAACGGAAATCGTTCTTTACCTAAACCATTTTAACGTATGAGTTAGCAATTTATCTTCTTATACCTTTTGGGTAGACAACTTTGTGGATTGGCTGGCTACTTGCGGTTTCTGAAGGATTATGCGACTGGATCTACGTCGTCTACAACAAACGCCAAGTTTACTGAAAATTCATTCTTTACCAAAAACCATTTTAGCATGTCTGTCTTCATTTATCTTTTCATACTTTTTTTGCAGAGAATGTGGATTGGTTGGCTACTTGCAGTTCCAGCTGGTTTATACTGTATCTTCGGCACCTATCATCAATCACCAAGTCTACTGGCTGCTAGTTTCTACAATGCTTTCACTCGTTCAATATATGGTTTCAGTTTGTGCTGGTTGATTTTCGCTTGTCTATCCGGATACGGAGGTGAGTGTGAAGAAAGACTTCATTAAATATTTTTTGAGAAAGATTAAATATTTCATTAATACAAATAGTAACAATTTTTAAAGCTAAAATCCTTTTTACCACCATTGTTAGAAATGTTGACTTTTTCCCCCTAAGAATGTTTCAAAAGTATTCAAATCTTATCTAATAGAGCTTCATAAGTTTTACGTCATATTTGTGCGAAAAAAATATGAGTTTTTAGCACCATGATGGACAGGTTTTGTTGACATATTATCGTATGGCAAAAAGACCGTCTTGAATTTTAGTTTCTATTTTAAAAAATAATAACAATTGGCATTTTTATTGCTCATAAGCCCTAATGTCATGCCTGAAAATGCTTTAAGATCCAGTTCTTCACTGACTTAATCGTTGGAGGGATGAATTTTGAATATTTTCTCCAATTTTCATCATAAAACTTACGAATTTTTGAACATTAAAATTTTTGCAAGATTTATTCCTTAAAAAGAAGATACATTTAAGAGTTTGTTGACTACTGATAAAAAAAAACTTCATCCTATAAACGGAATCAAAATCTCAATTTTTAAAGGAAATTTTAGCTGAATTTAAACGTTCTGAGTGATGTTAGGGATTCAACTTTACGCATTTGCGCCACATTATCATCCTTTTTGGGCTACAATATATATTTAATAAGAACCATTCTTTAAAATTATTTACTTTCGTAGTCTGAAATAATTTGATCAAAATTTCACGTTTTTCGTAACATAACTGGATTTAAACCTGTCGTGAACTGATCGAAATGTTAGTTTGTTCTACAGCAGGGCTGTCCAACTGGCGGCCCCCAACACATATTGTGCGGCCAGCCAACTTCTTATTCAGTCTGATCGGCCTCAGTTTTCCCATTAAAATGTAAGCAAATTGTTTTATAATCCTTCTGTTCCATTGTTTTATAATTAATAATTAAACTATTAATTGTTATTGTATAAGAGGTAAGAGGTTATTGTTCAACTTTTTCAAACTGTGGCCCGACAGGTGATCAGTGACCGGAATTCTGGCCCGAGGGCTCTTTGCAGTTGGACAGCCCTGTTCTACAGTAAAGTCGGTTTTCTTCAGTTGCAGTTAGCTTTCTTCTAAAGAGGAGTAATACAAAATAAGTAATAAACTGTCTCTTTTGTCACTAATGGACCCAAATATCATTACTGGTAATAGTTCTCGATTCATATCAACCATAAAAAGATTTAACCTAATTTTCCTCAAAAAAAACTTATTTTTGCCTATACTGTATAATGCAGCATGGGTCAGCATTTAAGACACTGAGCTGCGATTATGAGCAGCTGGGACTCATTTCCTATCACAGCTTTAAATAAGAAAAGATAGCTGTGTAAAAAGGAGGCTACCGAACAATGCTGTTCGCATTACTATCATTATCATGCTATTGTGTCGTTGTCTTGACTGCCTGTTATTGAAGAGGTATAGTCTGTCAAATGCATCGTAAAACTCTTACTAATTTTCTATAAACCTTTATTACAATATTTACAAGTTATAAAAAGTTATGCACTTCTATTCTTAACATTCTCCATGAAACAAAAACCCATAAACTGTTGCCATTCAAATTCATATAAGTATTAAGTTAATGAATAAAATATTACAGATTATGAACGATGACGTCATTACAAATTCTTTACGTGACAATAGTCTGCCCAACACGAGAAGAACTCTGAGGGATACTTCGGGACAAATACACATTTCGGGAGTACTTTACAGAACAAATTTCACTTTATCATAGCTTTACGAAAGGCAGACCGGCTCCCCTGGGTGTCAGGGAACTAGCCTTGCATCAGAAAGATTCTGGGTTTGAATCCCGCTCAAGGCATGGATGTTCTTTCCTTCTCTGTACTATTTGTCCTTTCTGTGGGAGCAACTTTGGCTCACCTGATATAGTGAAGCCTGAATGTGTGGCCAGCAGATCTGCCCTTCAGATGCCAGTAAGACGAAAGGTGGGCATTGGGGGGAAATAACTTTATGAAAGTGAATATTTTATCCATGTATTTAAAAATTTTAAAATACATTTTTGATTTTCAGGTGCTGTGGATAAAATTCTATCCTGCAAACTCTTCATTCCTCTAAGTCGGTTGACTTACTGTGCATACCTGATTCATCCAATTTTTAATACCATCTACGTTACCTCTATGAAGTCTACAATATGGTTTTCTCATCAATCAGTTGTAAGTATTTTTTATTCTTCAGTAAGAATGTCGAAAAACTCGAGAAGCACCAGATTTGTTTACTCTTTACTTGCAGTAACTAAAGACTGTAAAGGAATTTATTTTCTGAATTTTCCTGTAGTAAAAAGGACAACATCCGATAATTTTTGTCTGTAATTAAGTTTGTAACACAAAACACAAGTTATTTTCAATCAAAGTGAAAAAGTTCCATTCTTTTTACTACCTGATTGAGGATTTAACATATAAATTACATTAAACTATAGTTTGTTTTCATATTTCAATTTCAAATTTCAAATGCATTATTAAAATTGTACTTGAAAATAATAATTTGAAAAATGTTGTTGAAAGCTAGATAGATTTTCTTTTTAGAAAAATCTAAAGTACATACTTTAAACCTACTACTTAATAGCATTTCATTTTAATTAAAGCAATACTTATCAAAAGTTCGAAATCGAATTTTTTTTTCATTAATTAAAATTAATTTCACCTTGCGGTGATTTTTACTTTTGTTGTTGTTGTTCTTAATGCTACTGGCCAATACCAGCAAGCCTGATTGGTGAAAGAAAGTGAATTTAAGACAGAGGGTGCGTTTCTTGTTCTTCAGTGGCGCGCCATCCATGACCAATAATACTACTTTAGCCACACACATGTCACAGGCCGGTTTAGAGCAAGTTCGGTTTAGATACATCAATTCATCCACAGGTAGTAATTTTGACCTGAGCCAGAGAACCATCAATCCCTAATTCAGTACTCCCCAAGGTATTGTTTTGTTATTGGAACTTGGAGGACTTTGTGATCCGATAGATTTAACGTGACCAGTCACCATTTACTACACGGAGAGTCTTCAGCCGATGGGGATCAAACGCATGACCTCTTGGACATGGGCCCAACGCGAAGCTGATGTTGTTCAAAAAAGTCATATTTCTAAATTAACGAAGGAAATTTGTCATTTTATAATTTTAGGGAAGCGAATAGGATTAAAATTAAATATAAAGCAACTGATTTGTATAATGCTCGTTTGTGACTATATTTCTTTATTCATAATTTCCACTCATTAAAAACTTATTGTATATTATTGTTAAATTTATTTGATACAATATTTCTTTATTTTCACATCATCCGAACTGTCATTCTTATTATCAACAAATTTTACTAAATTTTAACGGTCTTTTCTAAACTATGCTAATTAATTAAGCAATTAATAATTATTTATTTGAAGCTGATATGTTTTTATTTTATTTCCAGATCATGTGGTACTTGGGTGTGCTGGCTGTGACGTATGCTTTTGCTTTAATTGTTTCATTGATATTTGAGTCTCCAATTATTAGATTGGAAAGACTAATCAGAAATAAATTTCAATCCAGATGAAAAGTTTTGCATCGAACTTTTTAATAGATTTATAAAAATTTTTATTATTAATAATTTTTTTTATATTGATATGTTTTGTTTATATTTGTAGCAGGAAAAAAAAGCAAATGAACAATAAATAAAATAGCTTAGTAGATGTATATACTATAGTCGGCAAAAAAAAAAAGCTTTATTTAATAATTCTTGATATAACTTATAGATTTCTAAGAACTATAATAGGCAATCATTATGGTTTGAGATGTAAATCTTAAATATTCTAATTAAATTGTATCAATGGTTAATTAAATTGGGAAATTAGAAGAAGTTTTTTAAAAAAATAAAATAAAAATCTTTTCGCCGGCTTTGAATTCCTGGCACTAAAAGTAACTCTTAGCTTTAATAGCTCAGTCACAAAACAATTAAAACTTCTGCA